AGTGGAAGCGCAACCAAAAACGGGCCCCGCACGGCTCGGCACGCTTAAAGCGAGCTCCGCGCTGCAGTGGAAACGCGCCATTTGAAAACCGCTGTTCTAAGTAACCAAATGTAACCAAAATGCAAATACTGTGACTGCATCCCATCTAGGGTAAAAGTGATAAGATATAAACGCATTTTAGATCATTGGGGTAAGTGCTTTGAGCCTTTCAGCCATGTAAACAGACGGTGTTACACTTCGTCTCTCTCGCTTTACTCTGCATCTCATTCATATCTCTCTCACTTCCCCTGCAACCTTTCTCACTCACACCTCTAATAGAGTCGTCTGCACTAACAGACAGACACATTTGAGAAGACATACAGAGAGTGAGTGAAGGAATCTGCATGAGGGTGGTAAAGCGGAATGAATCGTGAGAAAGTCATAAGACGGAATATGACCATGAGAGGGCATCTCCCAGTACGATTCCCCAAGCAGTTTGTCTGATACTGTAGGAGTGTGGCGGCAAGGGAATGGGAATATTATGCTAATGGGGTGAGGATTGCAACAGCGGTGCCGACATAGAGGGATGATGGGATTTTAGGCCTCCTGGGGAGGGGAAGAGGGGGCTGCGGTGTTGGCTGTGTGCTTGAGGGCCCTGAACGCAGCAGAAAGTTTAAAATCTTGTGGCGAGGGAAAAGGAAGCTGCACGTCACAGTCACTCTTCTCCTACCCTTCATGCTGTCAGAGCTGTCAGTCAGGCAATTGAAAGAAATGACGAACAATGACACACTCTTTGTCTCCGCAAAGCAAAACCAGTGGTCCGGTTCAGAGGTGGGGTCTGCAGGAGGGGAAGAGAATGAGTTATGAGCGGGGAGGCGGAGAGGAGCACTGATTAAGCGATCGCAGAGAAACTTTTTTTAGGCCGGCCCACTGTGATGGAGTGGCAGCCATACTGGATGAGTCATCCCGGTCTAGTGCAATGATGGGCTCTCTTTCAAATAGTTGTCAAGTCACATTCTGTGATTAACAGCAGGCAGAGCAGAGGAGAGGAGCATCAGTTTAATTTATGCCACAGTGCTACATGACGTGGCTCCAGCTGATGAAGTTTCTGTCAAAAATGATGCACGCTTGATCTGCTCAGAAAAAACAATATATTCATCATATCATTCTGAAATACACTTTGGGCTGGGCGATTACGCAGATTGATAATTTATGATCTTTCAAAGGTATCATATCTTGATGAAAACCTAAATTGAGATATCAAGATACACAATTACGTGGTTTGAATTGATAAAAAACAAGCGCATATATTACTAAATTATCCAACTCATTCAACCTTATCTGATATAGGTATTAGTATGCATGCAGGTTAACATAACATCATTACAAAAACCAAACACCTGTTGTCTCAACTCTCAAAACATGAGCTATTGATTGTTTCTCACATTTAAATAAAATCCTCCTGCAGGTTTTCATTATCTCCTTTCATAATAGCTGTCTCTGTTGGGATTTAAAGTGCGTCTGGTGGGCATTTAACAGCATTTAGTTGACAATAAAGTGAAATTAAGTCATTTCTGTTCAAATTCGGTCGAGTAAAACTGTAGTCTGCGTATTAGAGGAATTCTGGCATAGTTTTTGCTGACATTTCTTTATTTGACAGTGAGGCATTGTCACACATTCAAATAAAGGTCTAAGTGACTCTAAATGAAATCCTCTCTTAGCTCACAGCCTCCACCAAATTTAAGTTGCTATTCAGTGGAAATGAATTTATATCCCTAGCCTTATGTCTGGTGTTAACATGCATCTCTTGTCTGGATTTTTGCTAAGGCACGATTAGGATGGATTACATCTTCTCTCCTGCAATATGCATATGAATCGTTCACTTCCTGTTATACGATCTGCCTGCCACCTGTTCGGCCTCCATAATGTACTTTTGGGGTGATTTTTCTGAGGAAACTTTTTATACACTCTGCAAGATTTTGTTCTTTTACTTCCTAAAGGGGTTCCAGCTCAGTGAATTACTTTTAAAACAGAGCCTAACTAAAGATAACTTCATTGGAAAGTCATCAATGACTTTAAACATTTAGGTTGTCAAACTGTGGATGTCACAATTTGCCAGGATGCCAGTCAAGCAAACAGCTAAGTAGAGGCCCAAGAGCTGCTTTATGGTCCCACACACATCTCTTTTGTTTCCGACAGCTCTTAGATGACGGAGCAGACGGAGCGTGTTGCTGCAGTGGAAGCAGAGTCGCAACTTGATTTGTGTCTAATCCTCCAGTGTGTCTGCAGTGTAGCGGCCATCACTCACCGCTAACTGTGTTAGCCATTAGTATCAATTAATCTCAACAAAACGCGGTTGGCCATTACCCTCAATACATCACCACAGGATCTGCTAACTATATGCCGCACAGAACAGTCGCACAGCCCCGCCGCTCTGTGGGAGAAGATGAGAGATACATGTGTCAGTCCCCATATGGCTAAGTGAGAGAA